CGCACCGCGCACGCCGCCAGCGCCAGCCCGCCCCACGCGCACACCGCCTCTCCGCAAGCGCGCGCGCGCCACCAGCCGCGCACCGCCGCCCCGCGCGCGCCCACAGCCCGCGCCCACGTCCAGCGCGCCGAGCCCCAGCAGCCGCACACCGCTGCGCACAGAACACAGCTCAGCGGCCGCCGCTCGCAGCGCCTCGATCCTACCGCCCACCCCCCTGCCCCGCACCTGGTAGCGCGTACAAAGGGACCAGCAACCACGGGCGAGAGTAGAAGGCGAGGCGGGCCCCGAGCTCGTGCAGCAGCGCGCCCATCGCCGCACTGGCGCCGAGTCCGCCAGCCAGTCCCGCGCCCACTGCCGCTCCTGCGCCGCACACCACGCGCGCCCACTCGCCTCGCTTCATGTATACTGTAAGGTCGAATCGTGGCTCCGATACTACGTTGGCAACACGGCATTTAGGCGGAGGGTGGGCGTGCAGCGGTCGAGACGTACGCTGGGCGCGGGCGTGCACGGCGGTGAGGTGCAATCGCAGCAGCAGCAGCGCCAGCGCGCCGACGGCGGCCAGCAGCGCGGCGGGCGCGCGCACCGCCACCGCGGCCACACCCAGCACGTCGAAGAACACCGGCGCCGCGGCCGCGCGCTCGGGCTCGCGCGCCAGCTCGGGCCGCGCCAGCAGCCCTGCGGTACGTGTGCACACGCAACATGTCTCATTCATCGATATCGCTTTCCTCCTCCACTCACCACATGATGCATGGTGCAACATTTAATTTTGTAAACAATAATTACAGCGCCTTAAAGTAGGAAAAGAAAAATTTCACTGTAATATTTTTTTTCTCTATAGATAATGGATAGGTAGATAGATATAGAAATTGAAAATCATAAGAAAATGAGAGTGGGGGAAGCGGGGGAAGCGGGGGCACCTTGCAGCAACGCCAGCACGTTGTCACCGGTGCGCTGGAGCGCGGCGAGGGGCACGCGCGCCGCCGTGTCCAGCCGCGTGTGGTACACGTAGCCGTTGCTGCTCCACGCCAGGTCCATGCCTGCAACACGCGCTCTGCACTACCTCCTCCACTGCCACGTGTGCGGCGGTTACGGTAGGAGGAGGTGTGGGGGCGGCCACTCACCCGAGAGGCCGCCGAAGTCGCGGAAGATGCGGAAGTCGGTATCGGCGGGGATGAGGCCGCTCTGGAACAGCTCCTGCGCCAGCGAGGAAGCGAACGGGTGCGGCACCGCGCCAGCGTACACCTGCAGAGTGAAGTCGGCGTGTGACACGTGACACGGCGCGCAACTCCTCCGAGCTGCGCCACGGGTCTGGCGGCGGCGCCCTCACCTCCAGCATCCAAGGGTCGTGTGGGCCCGCCTGGAACAGCACCTCGCGCCCACCCGCGCCGCACGCCTCGATGTTGACGAAGGCGCGCACGTCCCGCGCCCACCTGCCGCCCGCACCGCTCCGTGCTTACCGACTGTTCTCACATCTGACGCGCCTCTTATTGTTGCAACACACGGTTCCTTGTTCCGATGTGCGCCATATATTCGCAATTAACTTCAATAGTAAGCACAATAATGAGACGTTACATTTTATACAATTATCTTAATTACGCTTTAGAGTTACTAAAGAAAACATTTCCTTTAAATTTTAAACCCCGTATGTTATAGATTAATATATTTGGTATTTTTGTAATAATGAGCTCAGCAAGTATTTAGTTGTATAAATCGGCAACAGAACACAAATACCGCGAAAGTGTATGTACATTTGGATCAGGGTATTTTCCGAGTGAAAGATATTTTACAACAAAGCGTATCGAAAGCATCGGGAACGAAACGAAATATTTAAAAAAATTCAAGTTGTGAGTATATTTAACAAAATATTTCAGTCGGCGCTACACAAATCAAAAGGAGATTTTTTACAATATAAGTAAAAAATCTCCTTTTGATATGAATTTAAAACGAAATTCCTATACTAAAACAAGTACATTAGCCTAACTACTCAGGCAGTTAACTGACAAAGTTTGCAACTACCTACATACATAACACTGCGGAACATGCATGTTGTCTTTTGCTCGCCCGGTCCAGCGCACAATCATACATACATACATACATTTTCTAGGTTATTTATTTTATTAATAAGAATATTGTAGAGTTGAGTGTGGCGAGCGGAAGAGGGAGGGAGAGTAAGTACTTGTGAGTGGTGATGAAGGCGTGCGAGGCCTGCAGGATGTTCTCCTCTGCGCCGTTGAGCAGCAGCACGAGGTCGTGGCGCAGCGGGCGCGGCGCCGCCACCAGCGCCCGCAGCGCCTCCAGCGCCACCGCGCACCCCGCCCCGTCGTCGCTCGCGCCTGCGCACGCACCGCGACCGTTGCTCTCACCCGCTACCCACCCCCACCCTCGGCGGGGAGCGAGGCGGCCGGTACACATGTGTACGAGAATAAGTCAAGTACCGGGGCTGCCGGGCACAGTGTCGTAGTGGCAGTTGAGGAGCAGGGCGGTGCGGGAGGGGCGGCGCGCGCGCGACGTCTCCCCGCCGCGGCCGCGTGCGCGCGCCACCACGCTCTGCACGTCGCGGTACACGTTGTTCATTCCTGCACACGACACACGCCGCTCTACCACGCTCTACCGTAGCCCATAGCCATAGCGTAACTGCACGCAGTACCTTGTTTTACACTTCAAATAATAATATATTATATCGTAAAGCGAGAATTACGCTATCGATGAAACATTACAGTAGTTGTCAGATATCTCGGCGGCTCTTAGCTTCGCGAGAGTGGCAAGAGGGCACTGCGCAGCGCGCCGATGACTATTGTCTGCGCATTGTCGCATCACAGATGTGTCCAATACGTTGATAATCCACAGAGGAGGTGAACTGCGGAGTTCAGTTACGTTCTAGTTCCTCACATTGGACATATAGTTCTGCCAGTTGACCTCTATCGGAGTAAGTATCGTCTGATATGCATTTAAATGAATATTGATTTTCTTTTAATTATATAGATTTCATTTATGGTTAGTAATGTAAAGGTGCAGGCGGGGGGGGGGGGGGGGGGGGGGGGGGGGGTCGTGCCGCACTAATCATGGGGTCAATTAGGTCAATTCACACAACATTAGAAAAATTTAAATCGGCATTAATTGAATGTATATAGAATTTTAACTGAAAATAATGTATTATATATTATTCATTTTTAAGTAAAATTAAGTAAAGTTAAGTAAACGTATTAAGATGCCTTTCTAATTGATATGTTTATTCATAGTAATGTTCGTATCTACGACCATGACCAGAGAACAGCCTGTGCCTGATATCACATCATGTTCATTTTTATTAAAAATATTAGCAGATTTTTTTGTAAATTTACTAATATTTATTTTACCATTCCAACTAAGTTCTAGGCTTGTGCTAGGATATGGTTTACAACAATAGTTGAATGGCGGGATTCGAACCCCCGACCTCGTGATCGGAAATCCGTACCCTTAACTATTAGGCTAACGCTTCATTGCAGAACAAAAACAGGAATATGTAGAGCACACGTGTTCTGTGCAAAACCCACCGCAAGCAGAAAATGTAGAAGACTAAGGGGCACGTAATGCTCACCTGGTAGCCTTATTACAATCGTTCACCACAACATACACACATATGTTACCCGTCTAAATGTTGCTTAGTCACTCACCTAACTACATAGTTAAGCGCAAATATAAGTCAAGATATTGGTACAAATAGAATCAATTTTTGTTAACCAGCATTAGGTGGTTATATTTCCATGTGCTCGGCATTGGGGGTGCACCTCCCGTGCATTAAATCTGTATGTCCGGACTCGGTTCTCATCCGGGGCTGAACTGGACGTACATACAGTAAAATTGGCGATTTACAAAGGTAGTGCTGACCGTCGAGGAAGGTGAGAGGGAAGGCGCCGCTGGCCGAGTGCACGTCGATCTCGAGGGAGTTGTGTGGCGAGGCGTGCGCGGCCACCTGGCGCAGCGCCTGCACCGCCCACCGCACCGCCACCACCTCGTTCTCGTAGCTGCCGGCCACCTGCGCATACCGCACAATGCCTCACCTCACCTCACTACCCACTCCGTTACCAACCCTACACACCACATGCACACGTTCATTACCCGGGCTCCGATAGAGGTAAGATTCACTAGATGGGCGTGCGCCCTGTAACCGTCAAAGGCGTCAGCGTTGGGCGGTGCCCGGCGCGGCGCGGGCAGCCGGCGCTCGGCCGCCGCCGCCAGCAGCAGCAAAAGCGCCGTGCTCGCTACCGCGGCCATCGCCCAGCGCGCCGACACTGCGCCGCGAAGCGCCTTCTCCGCTCCCTCAACCCTCTCCTCCTGACGAACAGACCTTATCTACCTAAAGGATCATATTTTACAACCACTTTCCTTTAAAAAATTTCATTCATAATTACCCATAATTATGAATACCGTTATCTGTCACAAGTGTACATCTTTTGGTGATTATGGTTTAGTTTTCAAATGTCTCAAATATTGATATAAAGTTTAACCTGAACAAGTGAGATACCTCTATACACTGTCGGCCAAAAGTTTGAGACCACTTTGTACACAGGTTATAATTTGCAAAATATTTTAAATCTGCATATGATACATAACAATATGAACTCCTGTATAATCTACTAATCATTTTGAATGTCTAAACACCATTACTCTTATTTTTTACACAATGACTATGCCATAAATGGGCATTGTTTATTTACCACAGATGAGTGCCGCGTAAGGACTAGGTTATGCAATTGTCATTATATTATATGGCGGCTCCCTTGTACTTGTTTGGTTATTGTTTTGCGTTGATAAATATTTAGGAATATTTTAAGCCATAAATCCTATTCATAGCATGGCTACTTAAAGAGTTAGTCTTGGTTAAATCTATTCAGTCTGAGTTACTGTTTTCTCAAGTGAAGATCTCCAAAAATGAGAAAAGATCGGGAAATCTCGGAAATAATGGAAACTGCAAGACAAACATTAAAACAAAAAAATGAAAGAACAAAAAATATTGTCTCAAAACCCTTACCATTGCTTGAGAAATCATAACTGAGTTAGTTGAAATAGTAGTAATGTATTTGTAATTATTGTTTTATTTCTCTCCCACTAGGCAGCATAAAAAAGAAAACACACACAAACGTTCTTACATTCCGTATAAGATCTTACAATTTCTATTTTCAGATTTAAAATGTTAATTCATAGAATTATAAACCTCACTGGTATGCTACATTTTTATTGTTATAAAATCATTATTTGAAATTTTCGAAAACCTATCGAAAACTAATGAAAAACCTAAGGAATAGATATCAGCAGACCGGTGTGGACCTCACAAATTATCAGACTTGGTTGACAGTTGGTCAGTTGGTTGACAGCTAACAGGAGTGTTGTCAAATAAAAAAATTCCCCGACATGTACCACAAAGAGTATATAAAACGTACCATGTGAAAAAATAAAAAAAGCCCTGTTTATTATACTCCTAACGCTTTGGCAAATTAAAATAAAATCAATAAATGACTGTAAATTATCGAAAGCCTTAGATTTAGCTAAGGTCGTATGGTTGTGGCCGTAGAATTTAAAATTTGGTCAGCGAATAAAGGCTTATCTTATCTTATCTTAACCGGCGCAAAGCTACTTATTAAAATTTTAAGGGCTTTGTTATCTTTTGTGTTATAATTTCGGTTATTACTTCCTTAAGGCTTAAAATATGGTGGTCTACAACTGTCTGAAAATATGCACTGCATACAGTTATAGGCATACAACTTGATAGTTATCGACCACCCTTAGGGTACAGTTTCCGACCACCCCAAATTCGTACTGTTTCTGTATTAAAATGTGTTTTAACTGAAATATACTTTGTTTTATGATTGAAATAAAAGAAACACAAAAATTATAAAGAAAATTATTTATTTTGCTTATTTATTAAACTTTTCTCCATTTATTACCTAAAAAGAGTTACTGTCTTTCCTTGGTAAGAGATATAAAAACGCGTGTTTTTCATACTAAGATGATTATATAGTTAGGAATCTTATATTATAATAAAAAAAATAAGAAAAAAGAATGAAAGTTTAATTGTTCTTCGTAAGCTATGTGCTTTACTATACTAAATTAATGTTTTGAAAACGCAATAGGCAAGAGAAATCAATTTAAAAATAATAAATGTGAAGGAGGGAGTAAAAAGATTGGGTCCAGTAAAAATTATATAAACATCAAATATAGGGATAAATAAATGCTATACACCATAAGAAACAGAAATTACTGTTTTCCGAAAGTTGAAAAAACAATTCTAAAAGAATTTGGAAAACTGTAATATTTAAACAAGTAAAATAAAAATAATATTTTTAAGTCTGTTCCTGCTTTCAGCAATTATTTTGAAGCTAATTCTTGGATTCTGTCACGTTCTACTAGTCAAATCTTTTTGATTTGATAGCCATGTTGTGGGATTTGTGCAAAAATGTCATCCGCCATTTTGTAACGGGCTATCTTGAATTCACAACGACACGAAATGGAAAAAGTGGCTTTTCATGAGAACTAAAGCTATGTACCAAATTTCAAAAAATTCTGACAACGGGATTAGAACTTTTTGACCAGATAGATAATAGTTTTAGGTTTAAAATGAATATACTTTCATATATTTTAATGTCCAGCAAAGATAATTAAAAATGAGTTTTGTGGGACAATCCGTAAAATGGACCGTATTTGTATGGTCTCATTGGGTCTCCCCTAGAGAGTTACTGTACCTATCAAAAAGTATATAAAATACCTATTTTTATTGAATGCTCTTTACTCTTTGAACGGTCCTTGTCGAATTGTATGACTTCCAAATGAGATAATACCTAAAGGTCTATGTTACTAGGTCATAAAATAAAAAAAAGAACTGTATGACATGAGAAGCCATATTGACAATAATATGTCAAATCTCATAAATTTTATTTTTATAACCTAAGTAACGAATCGCGTTGTTCTTGTTTTGTATCTTTATTATTTGTCACAATTTTTTCATTACATTAACTGGGTATATTCTCGTCTGATTTTATACAAATCACTGACGTGAATTATAATGACGACAATTATTTGATTAATAGATGTTTTGTTAGTCACCTGTTTAGAATAAAACGTAAATATGTCCAGTTGGGTCGGTTATGCTGTGTCCGTAAATTGTGGTGAGCCTCTGGGCTGTTACCAAGGAACAATTGTGGAAACAGATGGCAGTACAATAACGCTAACAAAGGCCTTTAGAAACGGTTTTCCCTATCCAAAGTCTAAGGTTACGCTTAAGTAAGGCAATTATTTTTATTTATCCGTAACAACTTTGTGGTAACTTATATCAATAACCATAACTAAGTAACGTAACAATTTTCCAGTGCCGTTGACATAAAGGAGTTAAAGATCATAGAAGAGTCACAAAGCGCACCTGCTGAACAAACACACAGCACAGTCTCAGTCACTAAGAGTAACAAGAAGGGGCAGCGGGCTACCGTTTGTGAGAATTTGCAGGCTAATCCATCAAATTTGGTCAATACTGGTAACTTTTTAATTACATTTTATTACATGGACAGTGAAAACCATATGTAATAATATTGCTTGGATGTTGACAGAATTTCCACTATATTTATCTTAACAAGTGTTTCAATTTTATCAATGATCCACAACAACCAACAACATAACAATCTTAGCAAATAATTTAGTTAAACAACATGTAGTTACATTTAATGGTACAAAATATAGTGGTCCCTATTAATGTAGGTGTGATTGCTGTCTGTACTCTGTACACATTTTTTCACTCTTTTCATAGGAATATGTATCGCAAAAATGGTATTGCTTTTATGGACTAGCATAAATTATAATTAATGTGACCAGAGATCCAGTTTTGAATGGGACTGTCCCGTTTTTTTAGCCGCGCGAAAATGTAAGAAGTTGAGTTGGTTGACGCAAGCAGTGTGCAAGAGCGAGACCACATCCTCACCACCACGTCGCCATCAGAGAAAGTAGTCTTACGGATTTTATTTGGAGAAAGAACTTAAAAAGTTTTATTTTTCATTGACTACATGTTAATTATCTCAAAAAAACCAATGTCTCGTTTTTGTTCATGTTAATTATGACTGACTATGGCTGGCATTGTAGGGGGCCACAATGTTATAACACTGGCATGCTCAGCACACAGATAGATATCATATTGCCAAGGCTGGGATTTTTTTGCTTATCACATAATTTCTTACCTTTAACAAATGCAATAATTAATCAATAATGAAATGCTTAGATTTTTTCAAATTATTTATTAGAATTTCATGTGTCACAATATGTCAGGTTGTAACAAACAATCAATTATTCCAATGTATTTAAGTTGTTGCACAATTTGTGTGTTCAGTGAGCAATGTGAGCGGTGTGCAGCCGGGGGGCGCGGGGAGTGCCGGGCCATGCCGGAGCAAGCCCATAGATATACAAGGACCCCGAAACAATAAGAATATTAGTCATTCAGGTAAACATCTTGCCGGTGTCTTCTTCACAAAGATAAATCGCTATGTTGGTACAGATGCGCTGACGGCTGCTTGGGATCTTCTCTGCCGGCTCTCTGTATTTTATTGTACACATATGTTTACAATTTGAAATTTTTATCGTTATATTTACTACATAAAGTGGTCAACTGTTATTTTAATCTTCTAATTTAAGCTGTGTATAATATGGGGTGTGTGGTCGTGGTGTGCGCAGGCGGATACGCGGGGGCGGGGTCGGGGGGCGCTGGGGGCGCGGGGGGCGGGGCGAGCAGGGGGCGGGGCGGGGCGCAGGAGAAGGCGCGGCGCCGCAACGAGGCCTGCTTCGGCGACGACGCCGAGTCCGCGCTGAACGACGACTTCGACTTCGAGGGCAACTTGGCGCTCTTCGACAAACAGGTAAACCTCCGCACTAGGAGTGCGCAGGCTCTGGCCTCAGGGCGCGCAATAAACGAACACGTGAATCGCATGAACGGTGTGCAGGCTCTCTGGGAGCAGATGCGCAGCGCCGCGCGACCAGACGTGGTGCGCGCGGCGGACGAGGCGGGCGCGCGGCTGCGGCACGACGAGAACGTGCTGGCGGGGCCGGGGCCGGGGCCGGGCGCGGGCACGGCGGTGCCGGCGGAGCTGCGCGCGTGCGAGTACCGCACGGAGGCGGGGGCGGCGGTGCCGGGCGTGTCGGGGGAGGCGCGGCGGCGGCTGTGGGCGGGGCTGCGGGGCTGGGCGGGCGGCGCGGGCGAGGCGGCGCTGGTGCTGCTGGCGCGGGCGGCGGCGGACGTGGCGCTGCAGCTGGTGGGGGGCGGGCGGCGACTGGACTGGCGCAACGCGCACCAGGCGCCGGTGTGCGTGGCGGTGGCGGGGCCGCACCGCACGGGCGCCGCGGCCGTGCTGGCGGCGCGGCTGCTGGCCTCGCACGGCGCGCGCGCCTTTGTCTTGCTCGCCGGTAACCGCACGCTCTTAGTATAAATATTATTGGAAAAGTAAACAAAATCTCTAACGGAATAATTTTTTTAAAGTCGTAGGTTTATTAGATTTAACATGTTTTTAATATGTTTAAAAAATAGTCAGTTGTTGTGTTGGCGGCGCGCAGGCGAGTGCGGGCAGTGCGGGGAGGGCGAGCAGTGCGGGGAGGGCGGGCAGTGCGGGGCGGGGGCGGTGCGGCGCGAGGTGCGGGCGCTGGGGGCGGGGTGTGTGCGGCGCGCGGACGAGCTGCCGCGCCCCGACCTGGTGCTGCTGGCGCTGCACGACCCCGAGCGGGCCGCCGACGCCGACGCCGACGCCGAGCATGCTCAGCCTCGCTACCAGTCAGTGCGCCTTCCTTACGTTCTACAAATATGAATTGTCTTGCGAAACAGGTGGCAAACATGGAAATGTAAGAAGCGTGTGTGAAGCTGTCGATGTGCGTGTGCAGGGAGGCGCTGGCGTGGGCGCGGGGCGCGCGCGGGGCGGCGCTGGCGCTGGAGCCGCCTGCGTGCGGGTGGGCGGGGCTGAGCGCGCGGGCGGCGGTGCAGGGCGTGCTGCCGGGCGCGGTGCCGGCGGCGCTGGGGCGGCTGCACCTGGCGGACGTGGCGCCGCCGCCCGCCCTCTTCCGCGACCTCGGCATCCAGTACCGCACGCCCTTCGCCGCCGGCGCGCTGCTGCCGCTGCACCCCGCCGACTAGCCACCCCCGCCCCCAGCCCGCCGCCGATAAACACCATTCATTTTGTTCGGCTTTAAAATGTTAAATGTAAGCAAAATATGTGTGTACATGGCACATTTATTAAATTGTACGGATGTTCTCCCTAAGCGTTGTGCCAAATTCTGATATGTTTAAAATTTTATAGTTGGAGAGGAAGAAAATGTGACACGTTGTAGAGTGCATTAGTGTCGGAGGAGGGCGGGGTGTCGGAGGAGGGCGGGGTGTCGGAGGAGGGCGGGGTGTCGGAGGAGGGCGGGGTGTCGGAGGAGGGCGGGGTGTCGTAGTAATAGCCGTCTTACACTCGTCGCTCCACATGTTGTAAATGGCCGCTACACGTTTCACATTTTTTCTGGTTTCTCCGAGTTATTTGAAATGATTTGACCATTGTAAATATGTAAATGACACGAACAAAATCTCCTCGACTGTAATGTATAGAAGTGTTGTTTCGACTCAACGCGGACTTTAAAACTATTATTATTGTAAATGTTATTGAATGAATTTTTAAGTAAAACATCGTATTTAATGAGTACGAATAAATGAGGTGCGGAAAGTGTAATTACCATTTTATTAAATTATATAGACCCCGCACGATCTGTACACAAGTAGGCGGACTCACCTCACCTACACTGAGACGCACATGATGAATGCCAGCCGCTCTCTCCGCCACACTCACTTACTTATTACTAACAATTGAAAGGAGGCGATCAATAAAAGTCATCGTAAATAGATCCATTGATTTATTTCCTTAATAAAATACACGAACCCTTAAAGCGAGCGGTACAGGCGGAGGTGGAGGTGGAGGCGGAGGTGGAGGTGGAGCCGCGTCTCCGCTGACTCACAAAACATATTTCACTGTGCATCTTAAATACAATCGTCATCAAAAATGTAAGTTGTCTGCACCGCTCCATACAATTATCGTAACGACCGTTGCCTCATGATGCTATTTCTTTATACATAAATATAACTATAAAAATATCAAAGGGTCATATAAAAGTTGGCATCGCATCGGAGATGGAGCCGCGACCGCCGACCTTAAAAAATATACAAAAATTAGCTAAACTCTCGGGAGAGGTGTTCACGTGGGAGAGACGTGGGAGAGACGCGGGGAGACGGGGGGAGATGGAGGGGAGACGGAGGAGAGACGTCACTCCGAACTGCACTCACTTCACACCGAATATCTGTAGTTTGTCTGCGCCTCATTTGTGCTTAGAAAGATATGTGTGCGCGCGCGGCCTAGGCGTCCTTTTCGCGCTCCGTGCCGTTGCACAGGCGGGTGGTGGGCGCTGTGGGCGCTGTGGGCGCCGCGAGCGCTGTGGGCGCGGCGAGGGCGGTGGGCGCGGCGGGCAGGAGGGCGCGCGCGGCGTCGCGCAGGCGGTGCAGCTCGAGCTGAATGCGCTCGGTGACGACGCGGCGCGTCTCCTCCTCGGAGGCGTTGGCGGAGTGCAGCCTGCAGAGGAGATGCGGAGGACATAGAAGAGACTCGCTCGTACCAACAACAAAGGTGCGGGGGAGTGTGGGTGAGTGGGCGCACCTGTGCAGCAGCGGCGCGAGCGCGATGGGCTCGCCGACGCGCAGCTGCAGACGCTTGCGCAGACGCAGGCGGTAGGGCTCGACGTTGGGCAGCACGCGGTCGAGGCCCTCGTGCCAGACGGGCAGCACGAGCGGCGTGCGGCCGCGCGCCCAGCTCTCCGCCACCAGCCGGCCCACGCCCCACTTGAACCTGCACCGAACCCCTCGCTTAGCGGCGGATCAGTGTCGCCGTGCGTCTCCGCGACCGGCTCGGGACTCGCCTGATGTTCTCCTTGTCGACGTTGACGCGGCCCTCGGGGAAGATGTGCACCCACTCGCCCAGCGCCAGCCGCTCCACGCAGAAGTCCATGGCGGGCTGTAACGCGACGTCGGACCGAGGTTAAGGAGGAGGCGACGGCAGAAGGTGGAGGAGTGGAGGTGCGGGCGGTACCTGGTGCACGCCGGCGCCGCGCACCACGGGCACGCACTTGCCGAGCGCGAAGAAGCACGCGTGCAGCGCGTTCGTGAAGCAGATGTCGTGCGCCGCCAGCGCCCAGCGCATGCGCGCGCGACTCATCAGCGTGCGCGCCTCCAGCACGCCTGCTCACCCACAAACCGCACATCACCGCACCGACACAGAACACACACAAAATTAACAAAATTATTGCCGTTACATACGTGCGGTTACAAAAAAAGTAACTTGTTTGAAGAGAATTTATGAAGACATGCGTGTAACGAGATGGATGATCGAGGATGGCTCACCCCAGAGGCCGGGGTCGTCGAAGCAAGAGTGGTGGTTGGAGACGGTGAGCAGGGGCACGCCGGGCGGGCGGCGCACGGCGCGCGCCAGGGCCTCGCGGTTGTGCACCGTCGTCTTGTTCAGGAACTCTGCAAACACTCTCACTCTCACTTACAACTCTTATTTATAGAAAGAGACAAAGTCATTTGTTTGGGATTTAAGAGATGGAGATACATATAAATTAAATTGGAGTGTCTGTTTGTAATATTAAAATAACCTTTTTTTATGACATGTATATGAATATATATATATAGTACAAACACCGTAATAAACTTACAATTTTTGTCCTTACTTGTAACTTAAGCCATGTTTATTTTAGAAAAATAAAGTAATGTTACAATGGCCAAGTACTGTCCAGTACTGCACGCAGCTCAAAGACAGTATTTGACAACAAGACAGGTAATAAGTTACTAACCATTCTGCCAGTTATTTTTAAGAAGAATTCGATGAGTCTAGCAGACCGAAAACTAGCAAGCCTTGAAAATAAAAGATAAAAGCCTATTTTCCTTGTATTTTGTTTATCAAAACATATCTTAGCCAGCGGTGATATGAAATTATAACATATGAGGAATGGAGATAGTAGCTGGTGTTGCAGTAACTCACATTTATCATTTAACTAATCTACATTTGTCATTTCAAAACAAATGTATTGCCCAACTTATGTACACTATAAATTGTGTGCCCAAACACAAGTCTGATATTGCAATTTCATTACTCTATTATTATTAAATTCATATTATTTATGCTTATATTGAACAAAAAACAAAATATATAAAACAGAGATGCAGTTTTGAGTATTGTTTTTGTTATATTACTTAAATTAAAATATAAACAAAAGAAAAAAGTTTAATACAATTTTTGTAACATGTAAATGACAACACTGATAACATATTTTTCATAAAAGATCCGGTGGACTTTGCTTTGGATTAGATATCTGTAGTTCATAATATTATATCTATGTTGCCAAATTCATAAGCACAAATTATCTAAGAGAGTGATACCACTATCTTTGGCTATCCCATGTTATCTGGGTGCGTGACCATCTACAAATTGTAACACCTTGTAGTTTACAAATTATTGGTAATTGAAATCTTCATTATTGTATGATTAGTCATCATTCTAAGGCACTTCTGACTTCTTCCACTCCAGTGGTTCCCAATTAGTTTTTGTTGCATACCACTACAAAAAAGACTTCAAACCTGCGTACCTGTTATTATAGCAATCATACTATATCACTACGTGTATGTCTGTTTCTTCACACTCATATGCCTGGACCAATTGGATGATAGTAATAAAATAATGTTTTCGACATTGTTCTTGTTTTTACTGATAGCCGTACGTACCCCTTGTACCCAGGCAACTTCACTTACTATAATATACTAATTGGGAAACACTGTCCTTGTCCTAAAAACTTGTAAATTTTGAATTTAGTCAGCGGTATATGTAGAAGAAATAATACATTTTTGTAATGAATACTTTATATCTGATAAATTTCTTTACATCAATTTAAAAAATAAAATTATGACTATTTCTCTCCCTCCTCAGCCATATGATGCCCACTGCTGGGCATAGGCTTCCAACAAAATATGCCACAATGACTGGTCCTTTGCTACATGCATCCAGGATACTCCAGCAACCTTGACCCGATCATCAACTATTTCTATGTCTTGTCAACTCTTTCACTTCTCACGTAATCCTCTCTTTTTACATTTTTTTTTCTTAATCAAAAGTTCAATGGTTTTTAGTTAGCAGTGTGCAACCTCTTTGGCAATGTCCTCCAAAGAGGTTTAATATGTAAAATAACTTTACACAACAACCAAACCACCAAAATGAATGCCATGTCATGATTTATTATATTTGCAATAAAATATGTAATTAGATAAAAGCTAATTACAATTCTTGTAAAATCAGCATGGCATAAAAATTATATTGTCAGTAGGAAAAAATTTAGCAAATATTATATATTAACTTTTTATCTCATAAAAGTAATTATTAAAAAATGCAAATTAAAAATTATATCTGACTAGTAAATTCTGATTCAGGTTACGCTTATGAAAGCATACCTGTAACACGCAAGAGTACTAATTACCTAATACATGTTACAAAATGAGTGGAGCAGCCAATAAATAGGATAGTTTTACCAAAATATTTTGTGGTTTTGTCGGCTTACCAATAATAATTTTACTAAATAATCCAACGACCGCTACCGTGATGGAGCTAGCACACGTCCACAGGCGGCCCGGGTTGCGCAGCCTCGGGATGATCCACCCGATGTCGTAGCCCATGCTGCGTGTTGACGCCGCTCTCCGCCGTCCGCCACCGTTGACCTCTGCTCGGCACCGCTCGCCTCCACTACATTAACATGATTCCTCTCATCAAGATCATAAAATTCAACAACTCTTCGGCACCCACCAATATGCACTTGTTCCACTTCGATATGATATGAAATCAAATGACATTTTTGTCTGACATTGATTAATTAATGTGAAAAAGACATAACACTGTGTAGCCATCTCCCATCCATTTGCTTTTCCATTATAAACTCTTTGGTTTGTTTTGTTTTTATTTTATAAGAATCAGGAGCGTACTTTATTTTTGTTAAACTGTGTACTGACTATTTTCAAAGCTTTTAAGTGGTATATTGAAAGTTAATTACAAAACCACTAAACCAATGCGAATTGCAACACTAAAAATAGGGTTTTATAAAAGAAAGCTAGATGTCGCTGTAATCTATTCTCAAAGTGAGGTTTTATGGATGAGGAGGGTATGGGGGGGGGTGGCGGGTCAGGAAATCAGGATTATTAATTTGTGAAATACTAAAAGTGGTACTTGTGCGAAACAGGATTTTCAACCTATACAGCTACAAAAACAAAATATACTGCAATATACTGTATGCCGCCAAACCTGACATGAGTCTTGGAATACTCTTGTAATCGAGCCTAGCATCAAGGTATTGGTGAAAAATTAAAAAAAAAACAATTTCATACCTCCTATTATAGTGTTTCTATTTCAGATTAATTAGTTTGACAATTCACGATAGATTGGGTGAATAAAATCGTTTATGAAAATTTTCGATTTTTGACGATTTACCTCATAGAACTTGCAATCGAAAATTTCGTGATTATTGTTTTTAAATTACAATAAAATAAAATGTGTGTCTTTTTATTTCTACTTTATTCTTTAAAACTATAATACACAAAGAAATAAAACATAAAACCATAAATTTTGAATTTGACAAACAAAAAGAAATATTTTAATGTTTTTTAGTTAATTGTGTGAGAAATTGCCAAATATTTGTATTAAATTTTAAAAGTAATAAAACACGTAATGTATGTTACTTATTTGTTCGATTAATTTTAGTAGAAGAACGACTTCCGATAGTTTACAGTTGTTCTTTATATACGTCCACTCTGACACTATGAAAACCGTTCATTAAGTACAACAATTAATCCTGGTAAAAAATTAATTCGATCCTTCATATCAATTATCTTAAATAAACACAATATAATAGACACAAAATACAGACGAATTGATAACCACTTTCCTTTTGAAGTCTGCTCAAAATAAACGGAATGAAATAAAGAAATCCTTTATTTGGGCCACTTTAATTTATCTGAAGATGCCGACAAGTGACATCAACAGTTTTATCCGGCGCCGTAATCGTCTGCGAACACATTGAACTCGTAGAGGAGGTCGTAGTAGTGGCGGTCGTCGTATGCGTGCCGCTGCGGCGCACGCATCAGGAACTGCCGCCGCCGGGGTAGCAGCATCGGCAGCGGCCGGGGCGCCCGCGCTGCGGTGTTGGTTGCGGGAGCGAGGAGTTGCGAGGCCGGCGGGCAGGGCACCGCCAGGGCTGCCGCAATCGCGCACACCACCAGCAAAGCCGCGCGCATCCCACCGCCGGAATCCGGAGCCGACACTAAAAGCGAACTGGCCCGCGTCGCTGCTCTGACATGTTTATATACGGCTCGTTCGCACGCTGTGGTACCGTCCGCAAAACAAAACGGACGTAGTTTCCCTCTCTCGCAATTTGCATTGCACTTATCCTTATCCATAAGTATTTCCAGGAATCGCTAGGCTTAGGATTTTTCCCCATATATTATCTATAATCAAAGTAACAGAGGTGACACAGAACCCCGGGCGCGAGGACCACGCTAAATGTACGTCCGTGGTCTCTGCCCACCCTACTCTTTGGTACGGGCGTGAGTTAGGTTTTTGTTTTTGTTCTTGGAATATAAAAATGCAATATTTGATTGTGCGATGTGCGAGCACTGTATCGCCCGCCATCTGCCACCCGCCGCCCGCCGCACGCTGGCGCGTGTGCAATGCCAAAGTATTCGTTGGGAAAGACCCAGCGACGGCGGCTGAAGTCGCGCGCCGTTGTCGTACTTCACTTTGCGAATAGTATGCGGTGACGCGCTGGAAAACCCTTACCCGCCAATTGTACACATGAGTAGGTCAATCAGTTGAGCGACTTAGCGCCCCGCGCCCCGCGCCCCGCGCCTCTGCCTCTTGTTAAATAATTGCAGCGGTCACATTGTATGTTTCCAACTTATGCAGTGTAACCTCGAAGGTGTTTAATTTGTTAGGTTTGCCAGAGACTGAGTTTTCTAAATTAGAACTGCAAAACGTAACGCCATCTCTGTCTTTTAGAGTGCATCTGTAAGTTGTCCCCCTATCAACGGTCTTAAAACATGTGAGGAGGCAACGCTCAGGCAGAGCAGGCGGGCAAGCAGGCGGGCAAGCCGACGGGCAAGCGGGCGGGCAAGCCGGTGGGCTTCTAAAGCAGGAGTGTACAGTGTACAATCATACCTTTTACATGATGTGGCATTAGGCAAAGAAAATGATTTCAGTATAATTGCAATAATATTTATTGAGGAACAATATCACAAAGCCGTAGGTCGTCAACGGGGAGTGGCAGAGCCCGCGGTCCCGGGGGTGGGGGAAGGCTTCTTTACCCTCTCTTATAAGACCGTAACACCAATACCGAAAACAAAACTAAATTACACGTAGATTTACAATAGATCCATAGCGCGGTAATAGTCGCACTAGTGAAAAAGTGGTTTTAACAGCTATTATATATGATCGCTTAGCATTATATATAGCGGTCCATTGGCTGGTCGGTGGTAAGCGCTATCGTTCTGCGGCTTCCATGATGAGCTCGGCCATTAGCTGTTCCATGGTGGGCGCAATGCCGCGCTGCTGGCAGCTTGCCTTGAAGCACTCGGCGACGCGCAGGATGCGCCAACAATGGTCCGGCTCGGTGTCGTATTGCGCCTCACAAGCGTGGATCATGTCCACCATTTGCTGCGACAGCACCTCGCCTGCACACACACACATACACACAAACAATTACAAAACTACTGCTACAGCTGCCGTTATGCTGCGTTTTGCGCGCTTGGATCGGTTAAACCATCTAATGATGTATTATAACAGATTGTAACAGCGCCCCGCCTGCTCTACTGCACTATTAAATAACTGTTCTCTCTCTCTCTCTCTCTCTCAAGGTGCCTCTCCATTTAATGGCGGTTGGCCATCAGCTTAGTGAACTTACTAAATAACTGTTACTGCTTCTCAAACAACATACACGCGGCTCCTCCATGCCGAGTAAAGGCAGCTGAGGGCCCGCCTAGGCCTACAGGAAGCACGCAGCGGGGTCGCCTTAGTTCTGCCCCGACTTCAAAGCCCACCGGCAGACGGTGACCGGGAGTAGTATTTACAGATTATTTACAAACAAACCCAATTGCATAAAGCAGTTCTTACATACCCTCGAAAATAAAAACATAACCTTCTAAGTAAAAAACAAAACTCTTGTAAGTAGGGCACAAAAAGGAAACCGTCACCGTACCTACCGTTGGGAAAGGACTTAATGAAGCGGTCAGTGTTTTCGCGATGCATGCGGTGCGTGTCAGTGAGCAGGTCGAAGTGTCGGCTCATGCACTGGATGGCGCAGCCCAGCGCGCGCTCCTCGAACTTGAAGTCCTCGCGCCAGAAGTGGAAAAACTCCTCCATCTTGTCCTCCGTCAGCTGGCTCTGCGTGCGACAACAACATACTGTTAATCTCACTACTCTGATTCTGCTACTTCTCCTTCGTACAAACTTAACGCTTCTTATGAGCCAAATAACGACGGCAGCTTGATTACATTTAAGTATTACTTATTTATGGGACCATCAGAAATTACTTTTTATCTTACCTCTTCCCTGCAGTGCTGCAGCGCCTCGCCAAAGCCGAGAGTTACGTCCTTCATGATATCTGAGGTGGCCAGGGCGCCCGGAGCCGCCGCTAACACTGCCAGCGCCGCCAGCGCCGCCGTACACCTCATGCTGTTGCACTCGCAGCCGCCGTCACAGTCTGACGCAGCGCTGGCCGCAGTGCACTATGTACCCGCGCTGCGGCTCGCCCCCGCCCGCCCCCGCCCGCCCCCGCCCTCTGGCACCGCCCTAATGACCGCTTGTAACACGCTAATGCCGGCACCGCTCCGGGATGTGACCGCCAGTATTGTTTTACTCCGACAACGTATTATTTTAGTCTTCTGTTTAATTATGGACTGTTTGCTCAGCGTAGCGCTGATTACGCGTTTTATAGCCTATTTCCACGTGGCTGCTAGCCGCGCGACTTCGGCCGCGTGCGGATCGGTAGCAGTCGCGGCCGCGACACTGATAGGACATTTCGTAGTTATAACGCTATAAACTACGAGTAAAATGTTCGAAGCTTGTATGTATATGTGTTCTTGAACAGAAACAGGCGCCGGCCCTTCACTATGTTATGATGATGAACAAGAGTGCAGCATCGTGTGTAAATGTTGAGTGCGGTGGACACAGCACGGTGACTATGAAAAATAATAATTACATAGACACGTATGGAGCGGAGGCAAAACAAATATGTCACGATATGTAATTAATGGCTGCGTGGGGCGTCAGTTGCCGTCGCCGCGGCCGTCGCCTTGTATACAGAGCAGTAGCAGCAGTAGAGTAACATGGTAACAGTGTTGTAGTTAAGATATTTGCTCGCTGTGTGCCAATTTATTTAAAATGCAGACTGCGAAAGTCTTGTCTGAAAATAATGTTGAAATCAACCAGATCTTAAATCATAATTTGAACAATGAATCTTTTGAAATAACTACTTAGTGCTCGCTCATTGTCGAGCAATGATCTCGTATAACATTACTTACGTAACATTTGCAAAATGTTGTCAACATTCGATAATACCAAGGATTACCTTATCTTATTAATATTATAAATGTGAATGTTTGGATGGATGGATTTATATTTGTTTGAATATTGGCTGCATGGATCTCGCTGAAATTTGACATATAGAGGTAGAACATAGCCTGGAAGAACACACACACACACACTAAAGCATATTTTAACTATTTATGTTTACTTTATTTAAGTACAATTTCAGTAGTTACATTTACGCAGTAGTTTAGTGTTTAGTTTTTAAATTTTGTAAATTCTTCACATTAAGTTTAATTGTGTCAAGTTTGATATTCATTCCATCCATTCCCACTGATATGAGGACATGTTCTGTGATGGCTCATGACGATCTCTGTAGAATCAAGAGGGATAGCTAGTGTACGATTCCAGTCCCGCCTTGGGGCAGTCTGTGTCGGTATCCCCAGCGAAGCCAACGTAGTCTCGTTTTGCAAACAGACCGAATGATAATTCTAAATGTATTTAATGTAACATACCTGCCGCGGTAAGAATTGTGGGTCGCAGTATTGAAAGTGTCACACTTATCTGAAGACAAGACCCGATATTTTCCACAAAGTTCAGCAGACAAAAACAAATTTATGACTTAGAAGACATGCCACTAATAGGGATTACTAATCTTATTAATATTATAAATGCGAATGATTAGTATTGAAATTTAGTATACAACTAGAACATAGTCTGGAAGAGCACACATACTACAAGTATATGTTTGTTTTATTAAGTTACTTATTAAATATATCTGAAGTGGCACTTACACATTGAACTTTGTCAAATTACTGGACATAAAAATATATAAATACCACGTTATGTCAATTGTAAGTCAAGTTTCCCGGATATAATACAATAACATTACTACAGTAAGACAAACATTATGTATTTTATCTGATGCTTCTGCTTCGAGGTAATAATTAAATTTATTATAAACATTATTAGAATATGGTTTACTTATTTATTGAAGACTCAAGATAAAGTCATTATTAAATTGTCCATCAGTGTTGTCATTTAGCTACATTAAGGTAACGCCTCGGTGGACGCGTGAGAATACTGTTGCAATTCCTTCACAATGCAAATTTAACATTCATCAAATAATATTGTCCTGTAAGACGCAAACGCAAGCGACATTTTCGGGCCAAGTTGGTGGCGGCGGCGCTTTGATCTAATATTACTGAACTCACATCACCCTAACTTTACTTCGGAATGTCAGACTTTACAGTTAGACATTTTATAACTAATCTCTTGAAGGTTCTTGCATCATATGCAAACATAAACTGCAAATTATGTACTCGTATTTATTACTGACTGGAATATATAATATGTAAGGGCCCTTGATATTTCAACTCATAGATTCCTCGTTTGGAAAAAATATCCAAGATCAATGTTCCCAAAAATAGTTTTTGGCGAAATTGTAAGATTTATTCAAAAATTACCTAACACCACTTTGTAGATCTATAAATCAAAAATTATGATTCTACCTAAAAGCTGAAGCCGTGACAAGACCTAGAAAAATAAAAATGATAGTAATTGCGTAAGTGTTTATAAATGGTACAGAATTAAAATAATAAAATTATGAAGCAGAAAGGCAAGCGCACGGCGCCGCGCCGTGGGAGCCTCCGGTAGGTTTTCTTTTTGTCCGTGAGCTTTTTAGCGCAAAAAGCTCTCCGGCGTCGCAGCGTAGTGAGTGGCGCAGGCGCAGTGCGCGCGCACCTCCCGACCGCGCGGCCGTATGTATTGCCCGCACGCCGCCCGCCGTGCCGTGCCCGCCGCTGGCCGCCCGCCGCCCGCCGCCCGGTGCAGTGCCGTGCAGTGCAGTGCTGTGACAGTGCCCATGGCCACATCCCAGTGATTGGCAAGCGGGAGATAACTCATAGTGCGTCGACCGTCGCCGGCCGCCGGTTCGACGCCCGCCGCCGCTCGTACCAGCACGCCGCGCCGCTGATGGTTCAACGGTAACTATATATTAAGTGCACATAATTATTACGTATCGGAAATATATAACGAGTAGACTGCGCAAGTTTTGATGAGAGTCGCGGCGCCCGACGCGAACCGGATTCCTAATATCGACACTATAATGTCGTTAAACTTGAAACATCGCAGTGCTCGTGGTCTCGGGTCGTTTGAGCATGTTCGCGAACGTGTCGCGCGATGCGGGCGATCGCTTCGGCATGCCTTCACGTGCGAATCGAATTAATGACATAAATATCGTGAACCGTTGTTTAAACGATGACGACGGTAGCAGAGAAGAGACGACGAGTTAAATAATAGAGTTGCCAACTTTCAATAAACGTACAGACGAACAGATCGATCCAGAAAAAGAGGATGGGGCAGGGCAGACTCGCATTGCGGTTTTTTATAAATCAGCATCTTACAAGAGTGGGCAGCTTTGATAAGCACATATATATATATATTTAGAGTTTGGTTAGCGCGTTAGATATCGAGAGACAAAACTGGGTATTAAAGGTTCTAGCGATGCGACGGTACGAAAACTTACACGCTCGCTGCTCATTACAACAGACCGCGTACTTTACATCTTATACTACCCGGTATCTAGTAGCTCGCGGCTCGCGGATCGAAACACAAATCGTAACCGTACCCTAAGCAGGTACAAATTGAGATGAGTTGCGAGCCGGTACAATGATACCCAGTGCGCTCGCTGCTTTGCAATGCGAGCAGTGCGCGTGACGTCACAGGCGACGACCGGCTACTTTGTAACAGTTACATCGTCCTGGTTATCAAACTATGTCCTGTGCGCCTGTTCGTGTTGTCCGCGTGAGCCTCGCTGACGTTGATTGGTTCTTTGTCTGTGAAGGCGGCAGCGGTAGAGTGCGCGCCGTCACGCTTTTCTCGCCGCCGAATCCGGGGAGCCGGACGCCTTTAGCTCCTGCTCCTCCTGCTCGACAGGGCAGTTCTTGCCGATATTCTCAGCCTCCCTGATGGTGTCGGGCAGCCGGGTGCCAGCCGTCTCTGGCATTAGCAACGTTAGAGCGCCCGACGCAAGCGACGTCACCCCGAAAATCATAGCCGGCAGACCGGACCAGTACGTCATCTGCAATGAACAAAAAGCCTGTTAAAGCGTATGCAACTCGTCTGATTGTTGCAGATTTTTCAGCGGTAGTTTCTCAACAGCTGGGTGAGCTGTACAATAGTGTTAAATGTTCTTGTATAAAAAATGTTTTCCCCGGCAAGTCTTAAGAATTCTTAAGTCGAGTTGCGCGTGCAGGAGAGAAGAAGGTCCCGTGAAATATCGTTTATAATACAATGTGAGCTCACGAGCAAGGGCATCTGCGGCGCCAGTAGCGCGCCCAGACGTCCGGCGGAGGCACACAGCGCGTGCAGCGAGTTGCGCGTGTACGTGGGGAACAGCTCCGAGGTGTAGGTGTACACGATGTTGTAGGAGAACGTGGCCAGGGTTTCGAATGCCATGAACAACGCCAGCCCCGCCCACGCGTACCCCGCGCCCGCGCCGTCTTCCCCGTCACCGCCTGTGGCAAACGAACCTCATTGAACCGTCATTTTTATTAGTATTATTACTATTGATTAGTATTATTAGGTATCAGTTATTAAGGTATTTCCTTTTCTCTCCATGTTCTACGTTTTCTTTGTTGGCCTCGAAGCACGCATTAGGAGTTTATGGAGTTTACATGTACCGATGTTTATCTTCTAACGTCCAGAAAACCGTATGTTCTTTTGTGGGTGAAGAATGTATGTATGTCGTCGCTAAACATTGGTTTTTTTAAAGTTTTAAAGATCTAAATACAGTTTGCTTCATTAATGAATGACAAATTCGAACCGTTTAGAAGAACAGAGTGCAATATACAGAACAAGCCGCCCAGGGTGAAGGAGATAATCAGCGGCAGTCGGCGGCGACAGCGTGCGAGCGCCAGCCAGCACAGCAGGTTGGCCGGCACGTCCATCAGCATTAGCAAAGCAAAGTTGAGGTACTTGTCACCGTCGATGAGCACCGCGCTGATCATCATGCCGTAGTTGATGAGCGTGATGGTAAACCACCACGCCGTGCACACTGCAAACCGTTGCAACATTATCTTCGACCTGAAAGTCTTTATCAGAAGCCGCCTATCGCTCATCTGCGGCGCCGAGTCGTCGTTGCCGTATTCCAATTTAGTTAAAAGCGCGTCGTCCACCTTCACGTTGTTTCTTCTGGCAATTTTTTGTATCAACTTGATCGCCTCCTCGCGCTTTCCCTTACTGAACAACCATCGTATGCTTTCGTCCAGAAAGAAGGAGTAGGTGAGTATGAGGAGCGTGGGGGCGTAGAGTAGGCGCAGAAAGCTGCGCCAGTAGGGCACTGCGCGCGCCACGAACGGCAGCGCAACCAGCCCACCCGTGTAGCAGTTCAGCAAGATCATCTGGTACAATACCGCACGTCTCTTCTCTACCATTTCTATACCTAAAAATGTACAATGTTTTGTTACCTAGTACTGATAGGACCTTAACTAACAAAAATCAGCAAACGATTTGCTTGTACGAGTACATAAGCACGGATCAGTATTTGAGGGCATATTCGTAACCGCCAAATGCGGAAACAATATTCCACCGCGTATATCTATTCTCTCCAGTTATTCCTAATTACTTTTTAAATGAACTTAAAGATTATATTGTCACTAGTTAATTATTCATAACTAATTCTCTTTGTGCTTTTGAACTCTCAAAGTTCTAAACTTACGGATTTTTTTTAATCTACGGAGGAAATAAAATAGCAACTAACTCAACATGAAAATGGGCGAGAACGCGTCCCCTAAGGCGGCCTCGAGCCCCTCCAGCGCGACGTACGGCCAAAAGGAGGGTGCCCAGCTCTTGGCCAGGCCCAACGCCGCGCCCACGCCGCCTGCGCCCACGGCCGCCGCCTTGCGCCCGAACCTGCGTCACACCACTACCTCAGCTAACCCGTGCTATTTGTGTTCCGGACAGTAAACGATAAATAACTAATTCCTAGTTGGCCCATTGGTCTCCTCGCGAAGTCACTTTATTGAGTTTAGAAGACAGGGTTTTGGAACAGCAATATGTAATAGTAGTCTCCTAGTATTTATCGAAGGATATATAGAGAAATAGACAAGGCACATAGCCATCATTGTACCAAACAAATTCTGCAACTTTTCCCATGCGGTGAAGTAAAGAAGATAATAACATGTGCATATCATGTTTCTACATCACGTCTTTATGAACGGATACCGACTTCAAAATGTACACACTTACACAAAACGTGCACACACACATCGAGATATATCGCTTTTTATTAAAAGTAAAAGAATTTCGGAAACGAAAATGCAATTACAATAATCTAAAACCACACACAGTACTTACTACAAACTTTAAAGTTTTGCTCTGAATAAAGTGTCTAGTTAAGTAGGCTAAACAATATAAAGTTCATGAATGGAATGTGTGCTGTATTTGGCAACGTTGTGTGCGGCCAGTGCAAACAGTCGGCACGTACCTGTCGGAGATTTGTCCCTGCAGCAGCAGACCGACCATGTTGCCGAGCATGTGCGCCGTGCCCACCAGCGGCGGCTTCCACTCCTCGCACGCCAATGAGAACTGTTAAGAAATTTTAGCTGTTAGTTATGACATGCGCCGCGACACGCGGTCTCTCTTTGTGCGACACACGCGCTGTGCAATACATTCATATGGTGAACAATAAAACTTCACGTGTATATTATAAAAACGTTAACAAAAATAGTATAAACAATACAAACTTTTCAATACAACTGGCGAAGTACTAGAATAGGAGACGCTTGGACGTTTTTCTTCGAATCGGTAATCGAAACGATCCCAAAACGAACGATATTGGCTGGACCACTGTGACGTGCATGCGACAAGTGTCGATGAATTTAGCTAATTCATGGGTGTAGAGAATTGTTACCTCAGCGACGAAGCTGTGCGGGTTGTCGTAGATGAAGTGTGTGCAGGCGTGGTCACGGCCCGTGCTGGGGTGTGCGCAGCGGCACTGGCGCTCGGGGCCCGCCCGCAACAGGCTTGTCCCGTTGCGCCATCCTTCCGCTGGCGCCGCGCACTCCGTTGCCGCACATCTGTACCAGTTAACATCAGACAAAATGTTTTCGTGCCGCTAATATTTACCCTGCACGAAGGTTACAGGTACAAATGAGTTGCATACCTTTAATTGACGGAGAAACGGTCTTGTGTAAAGAGGATATTGCCTCTTTCAATACGTCTCCTCCCAAATCTACTTCCCTGTCCCATACTTTCTTAATAAGAAAATGACGAAAAGCGGAATTTCTTTTACATGACGCGTGTTTTATGTGTGACGGTGGTTATTGATATGAGGAGCAAGTCTCTCTGCAGTAGGTAAGACAAGGTGGCAGACTCTATTGCTATTAAATTGCGCTACAATTGTAATTATTCTTAAAATGGTACTTCGATTCCTCGGCCTTTCTTAAATAGATTATAGTTGTCTAGATCTTACGATGAAACCTATCTGTAAATTTAATCAGTTCATATTTGTACGACACAAGACCTATATGCGATGTAGCGTTCCTTAAGAATTTTGTAGTATAATGCATTATGACATTAATTGCTTGTGGAGCCGTGAAGTGCAATACAATACAATACAACACAATAGAATAGAATAGAATGCGGTGAACTCGGGCAGCTTTAACGTAGATGAAACTAAATGTAAAGAATGTCGGAGCAGTTTGCTACATGTTGATAAATATTATGCGGTCACTTAGTTAAGGTAATGTAACGCAGCAACATAACCACCATCACCAGATAGGTACATACATACATACATACATACACAATACATTTGTTACATATTAACCGTAGCGTTGACTTATCGTAAGAACTCTTAACAAACATTACGATGTGATACATTGTAAAAGAAGTTTATGGTAAAATTGGTCACGATTGAATACGATACGATGATAAGATTATATATAGTAATAAGTATATAAATAAAATATTAAAAGTCAATTCCGTCTTTTAGCAATAACTTTTTATTTTATCTTTGTAAATGGATTTTATTATTATTATTATTGTCTATAAGACAATTCCTATCATTTAAGGCGTATGTTGGGGGTAAGTTGGGGGTATTGTTGGGGTATGTTGGGGGTATTGTTGGAGGAGTTGTGCAATAATAATATCTTAGATTTGCAATGACACGGAATGTAAAATATTGCATTTTCATCAGCATGATATGGAGTTAGCTTTCATTTTACGTTATTAGATATGTACAAGGTATATTGCATAAAACTCTAAAAAGTCCGTAAAGTTATGTGATCTTGGTTAATGTCGACTTTTTTATTTAGTACATTCACTTGGTATATCCTGAGATTTAGTTAGTTCCAATAGGTCACAAAACACCTACCTGTAGCCTACCTCCTCGACGGCGAACACATAGTTCACGTTGTAGACGGCGTTGGTGGCGTAGACGAGCGCCAGCAGGCTCAGCGTGAGCATGTGGTGCGGGCCACAGGAGCCTAGCCGCGCCAGCGCCGCGTCTACCTGCGCCCCGCCTGCCTCAGCGCCGGGCGTGCCGCTCATTGTGACGCGCTCTGTGAACTAGCGCAGCACAGTGCACACGGAGTCTCGGATAATACTTATTTTTGTTTTTTCCAACACGGCTCGGCTCCCGATAAGAAAATATCGACACTGTCAGTGTTATTTTGTTTTTTATCTGTAATTAAATGCAAAAAATCGATCAATTGTACTTGTTAACTGAATAATTTTATGAATGTTTGTAATATTGAAGGAGCGAGTAGCGAATGCAAGAGACGACTTGCTACAGTCCGCTTGTCGCTTGCCGCTTGTCGCTTGTCGCTTGTCGCTTGTCGCTTGTCGCTTGTCGCTTGTCGCTTGTCGCTTGTCGCTTGCCGCTGTGCATCGTCCACGACCTGTCATTACATTACATTACATATGCAATACGCATCACAACACTATTTTAAATAGGAGAAATTTCGCCCGCGGAAAATCTTAAAATTTGAAAAAGCATAAATATTTTTTTAGTCAAATATATTTAATATTTACGGATAATCAATATTAAAATTCTGTAAAGTTATTTACTGTTAAATAACATAAATCAAATTTAAAAACAAATACAAGCCTTGAATAAGTAGAACCGCAGTGCGGTGCGGTAGAAGAGGTTCTGCGTGGTGGGCTGCGGTGTGCGGCCGGGCTCGACTCGCGCGCTGCCGCTCCCTTCTTATCTGATAACAAGCAAGGCGGCCTACCTCACCGCGTGTCATGAAAAACTAAACAAATAAACTGTTGTGTACTGAAAACATAATTTGTTGCTTTGATCGTTTGTACAGCAGTGTATGGCCCTCGCCGTCGACGTCGGCAAGACGTCCGCGCATCGTCAGCGACGGCGCGGCGTCCCACTGCCACAGTCAACACTTTACTGTTATGTTAAACGATAAACAATGATCACGATGAATGTACATATGAGTATTTATTTACCTATATATTTTACTATTCAACGATATCGCAGCTAGATAGCCTTTTCTATAAAACTAGGGAAATGTTCGTTTTGCACGAATTGCGGGTCACCCCCGTGCAACACTACGACAACATACAACACACCCGACAACTGGAAGTAATGTCGTCGGAGCAGTGCGTGATGGAGGTCTAATTCTGGTTCTCTTCTTTTTTCCCTCAAAGGTGAAATAATCTTATTTTTAAAAAGAAGTTCTGCTTCCGAAGATTATTTAAAAAGCAAGTACCTGACCTTAGATTTTTTGTGTCGATATTATATTGGACATGTAAATAAATAATGGGTTTGCAACAATGTAGGATGTATAATATGTATGAACACATCACATTAAATCTATATGCATTGTTGTTACAATTTTGGCTTGTAAAATGTGTACCATGCGCCAGGTGATAAGATACCCGGCCCCGGCCCGTTCTTCAGACAGCCTTCAGCCGTCAGGGCGTTTATTCCTACAAACATAGCACAGCACACAATAAACAGTATTGAGTTATATGTACGCAACTGACAAAGATAAATATATGATTTGCGGTGTTTTTACAATCAGTTTGTTTTTTTTTTATAACGGGCATTAAGTAAGTTAAGGGTGGTGCCGATTGTTTGTCAGCTAATAGCAAGAGTAGTAAGGCACTAGAGCTACAAAGAAATTGCCTTACACTGTGCATTCCGCAGCGAAACTAGACTGCGTCCTCTTACAAGAACTACGCTAAAGTACACACACTAGTTACAAGGAGAAGATAAAAGATAAGTCGTATTTGGTTATATATTATATAGTTAATTGCGTCTATTATGTAAGTTAACATAATATACAGTATCGCCTGCAGCGAAAGCAATGCCACGTTCGTTTGCACGAAAAGCAACGAAGTGAGTAGTGACACATATATGTAAATACAGATGAATGGGGAACCGAACGCTCGACCGCTACATCGCATCGGCACCGTATCGCTTGCTCACAACTTCAATGACCACTCACATCAGTGAGATCACTGCGAGAGGCCAGCAGGTGGACCAAAACTTTGTTTATGTGTGTGTAAAAAACATTATAATCATTATCTTAGTACATTCAGTAGATAATTTGACTACGATCCCGTATGATGTAACGGAACTCACCCTACTATTGAAGGCGCCTATATCATACTTAGGCAGAGATACTAATGCGGTCGGTGTTGTGTGTCTTGTGTCCTTTTAATTATATAGGGAGTAATAGTTATGTTTGTTGCAGGTGGCGCACCGCAGCGGCAGGCGCTGGATAATGCCGATCAGAAGCAAAGTAATGTGCCCCCGTGTTCACCATGGCTCAGCATTCTTGAACATTGATGCGCCGCGAAACGTGTAGACGCTCTCCACTCGACCCAAGCCACCATACGAGATCCGCCGCCGTCGTAAGTTATACTCATAGCCGGGGATCAGTTTGTCCTGGCAGAGTGAGGCGTGATCGACACCTCTGTTGTAAAAAGTAACGGTTCCGAGAGGTTCCGTGTGGCTTCGAGAGGGTTCCGTGCGGGCGCCGCACTCTGTACCGCAACACTCCTGCCTCATTATCCTTCATTTAAATTAAAAGTATGCCTCTGTTGTCACACTATAGGTGAATGTTATGTAAATACATATGTAGACACGAATGTTCAATTTGCTCTCTGGCCAAAGTAAACGAACTAAAAGTGTTTACTTTAATTATAATAATTGAAATAGCAATGCATATTTCCCTTTTCGTTTTAGCTTTTTAAAAATCGAAGAGTTTGAACCTATCGCCTATCGATGGTTGTTTTCTATCAAAATCCAACATTCGTCTTCGAAATGATCTCATTGAAAGTTATAACATAGATGATTGAAACAAAACAAATACACAAAGAAAATAAAATACTCTCCACTCATTCAGTTAGATGACGCGGACGTCAATTATTTCCGATGAGACTTTGATTCGAGTTTTTGAATGTCCTCATCTCGGGCCATGACGACCTCTAAAGCCTTGTCTGCAAAGGTTATATTATCGAGAGGAGGTGCCGAATATTTAAAAGAGGAAAATTAATTGATATTTTGTTGTCGGCCGCCGCGACTTATGGCCTGCTATCGCCACACAAACAAGCTCCATTGTCACGATAAACGACTCAAACGCTCGCATTAAATTCTCGCTACTGGAGTACGAAATTAAGTAGTGGTACATTTGAGAATATTTAGTAGCTTCCAACACTACCGTCGACCCGCCGCATCACTCTCCTCACTCTGACATCACGATGCACAACGCTGCAGCTGCGGGCGACGCGGAGGGAGAGTCGTCTACACGTGACGCGACGGTATTCATCATCACTTTGAAACCATAAAGTTTTCTTAAATAACAGTTTTCGTGGTTGCGAATAAAGCGTTCAAGGAAAATCAATGAGTAAAGCGCAATGACCGAGTGAAATAAATTATCATATGAATATCATAGTGAAATAAAAATGTTCAGCGAGACTAGTGAAGTGATCAAAGTGGAAAAATAAGTGTGAGTGGTCGTCTGCTGGTCACAGTGTTCAGCGAGTGTGCCAGCGGGTGCGACAGCGCCGCCGCTTCATGAAACGCAGCAAGTCGTACACGTGGCTGTCGGGCCTGCTGCGCCCGCGCGACCAGCCAAGCTACCCCCTGCGCGACCCTCCCCATGACCCGCCGCCGCCGGCCGAGGAGTGGGGCGCGGCGGCCTGGGTGCACGCCGACGCCACGCAGCCTGCCAGGTATACCATTGCATCTTCTTATACAATTGGGAGTTTATCGCGACGATGTTGTCTATACGGTCTCTTCGTGCTTTTAAGAGAAGTCATTGAGTAGTAATTATTGAACTACAAGCAGTACTAGTCTCGATGACAAGTATCAGCATCAGCTTCAGCAACAACATACTTATAGCAACAAGCACAATACCTAGCAACAAGTTGAAATATTATTAATAATCAAATAATTATCCAAACTTGTGTCTTCCAAACATTTACATCATTTTTGCCATATTGTTCATAATCAAACTAGCACTCAGGGGGTTATTTCCTACATAGTAAAAAGTTCACAAACGAACATTTCATGCATAGTTTGAAATGTTCGTTAGAAGTAATCTTATAAAGAGGAATCTGTCTGCGAGCGCGCGCTCGCCGGCGCGGCCCATTCGTTTCACTTGTAGAATACCGACTGGAGCGAACTGAATCCAATTTAACTGCTAACGGCCGATATCAATATTTCAAGATCTCGAACCATCTTTACTTATCGACGGTATTTTTTATCCATTTGGTTTAAATTCAATCGATCTAAATAAAGGTCGTAATAGCACTTGTTTAGAGAGCGGTGGAATAAGTACTCTAACTTCTAATTTTTAGATCGATCTTAAGAATCGAATATTGATTTTGATCCTAAAACTATGGTTAATTATAACTCTTAAATTTTGAATCGCTAAAATCCAAAAAATTATATCCAGGAAAAGGTGGTAATTTTGTGGCCATTGTACAACCGCCACAAGTAGAACAAACTTAGATCACGTAGTAAGTGGATGTGGGGTCGCCGTCACGGCGGTGATGCTTGCAATCAATACTAAAATTGATTCAGGAGGTGCGCTACATATTGTATTGGAAATTGAATTGTGTGACCACCGCACCGCACGCACCGCACCGCACCGCAGCATATTTCGCGGCCCTGTTTGTCGACAGGTGCGCCGCTCCGTCCCAGTGAGCCCGTGACTCGTCGCTTACACCGAACGCAGCTCTCACATTCAGACCTGTCTCGAGAAAAACGAGCAATAAAGCTCCCGGTTCTGTTTCACTGTGGCCACACTACGGAGCGCGGGGCGATGGGGATCGGGGCGCTTGGCGAGGAGTAATTGAAAACGTATTTATTGTGGGCTAACCGCAGATGGAGGCAACTGAGACGAGACTGACGGTGGCGGCGGTCAGGTGCGATATTGGTTTATATGCACTGTTCTTATTGGTATGTATGTTCGTTGCGGTTTACGAGGTGCTCCAATTGAAATTAAATCAACGGACTATCAAAGATCCAACTTTCATAACAATGATAAATGCTGCCAAATATAAATCAATGGCTTGTTGGACTTTGTTTAAAAATACCTAATTTCAATACATAACGTGATATCTCTGTGGTGACAGCTGAGCGATGTCATAATGCATTGTTCAATAAAGAATATGACTTATTTAATAAAATCCAATATTTGGATGCCCAAGTAAAGTGAATGTGTTAAACTGAGTCGCGGCCTCCAAATATACATATATGTATGTATGTAAGTCGCATTGCGAAACATTTCGTGCGACATGTTGAACCATCTAGCCCAAAGCATATAGATTTTATTCAGATTTTGTTATAATATGATAGTTTCGTTTAACAGGCGCTTTATTTTGTGAATTTAAAATATTCATAAAACGTTATTATAGATCATCGTAGTTGAATGCGCGCGCACATTTCCCGCGCCCTCTCTTCCCGTACCATTGACATGCGACATAAGCTCCCAAAGTCTCAAGATAATAGTCAAAGTATTTTGGCTTATATATCCTTTCTTTTAAGGTTCAAGATCCCTCGTCGTAACGTAATCATCTCTTCCATGGGATGACATTATTCAGATAAATGTATTCTAGCAGTTTAATTCTTTAATATCAGATTTCCGCGTCCCGAACTAAAGCCGCACTCACACGAATCACTTACGTTTTTACAAAAAAAAAATAAACAATGCGATTTTTTGTTAAAACTGCGTTTTGTTCTCTCAATTCTTGGGCGTTTGGTTTGTTCCTCGTCCTACACAATCTCCATTGAGTAATTTAGCTTGTTGTCTACAACTATAACTTATGTCATTTTTTTTTATTTGATTGTAGAATAAGTAGACAGAATCGCAGTCATGTCAAAGATTATAATTGTATATACACAGCTACTACTAGATAGAATATATTAAATAGGCTATGGTGTTATAGTTGGTGTGAGTTGGGTCTAATAGTCGTAAATTTGTGGTGTGCGGCGAACAATCTGAGGAGTCCATTACCGCGCTATAAAATGGGCTTTATTCAAGAGAAGTGATCCTTTTTATTTCAAAAGTAAGCTTTTATATAGCGAGTTTTGTTGGCTTGGCTTCTCATGGACATCTCAGCATACGACATGAAGAAGGCGATTCTCTAATGTTGTCCATAGCGCAACAGCTGTTTATCTTATTTTAATGCATGTATTGCTTGTGTCAGCAGTGGCCGGGTGCCGGCTGGAGCCAACACGACTAGGAGTTTTGATATCGCTGAGGTAGTAAGACGAAATGACTCACTCATTGGATATCGACGAAAGTTTTTATAAGTCTTGTTTTTTCTAAATACAGGGTTTTAGTAAACGTACGTACAAAGACAACAAATCACCGCTTTAAATATCAAATTCAGATTGCTCAGTGTAATATGTATGCTTAGAATAAGTACCTATAAATCTAAGCTGTCGAATATTTTACAAGAAAATGCTGACGTAAGCTCTTTAACATGGAATCGAACTGAGAGCGAGCGAGTTAGGAATGAGTGATGGCCGGGGCGGGGGGGGGGGGGGGAAACGAGATTTCTTTTAAACAGGGATTAGGGGTAGAGCAGAGTAGCGAGGGGACTTTAACTTTCGTGAAAAATTGCTTAATGGACGCGCCATTTTACCGTGAACTTATATATCGACAAAGTTTTAATGATGTTCTCTACTCTGTGATGTTGGATTTTGGTCAACTGCAAAGATTCACTTTTAATTTGAAAGTGCACCCAGCGCTACAGATATATTAATTCACTAGTTTCAAGGTAACGCTGCAGGATGTGTACTGTAAACTATTATTTATCTTATATCGACTGTTACAGCCATTGAGAGTAGAGATAAATTATACGTTTATCATAAACTTGTACTGAATAAACTTATATGAATCATTCGTTCGAATATTTCGTTTTACTCCTCGTCGACTCCGTGGCGCAACGGTAGCGCGTCTGACTCCAGATCAGAAGGTTGCGTGTTCAAATCACGTCGGGGTCAAATCTTTTTCTGATTTTTTTCTTTACATCTGATTTTTTTATTTTAAATATTAATCGCCTTTGTAAACTAGTGGTCGCCCTCATGTCAGACAACAAGATGAGTCACTTGTCCACACTAACTTCAACTGTGTCAAAGACGTTCTTTCGTTCACGCAATTTCCTTAAGAAGTGGTACAGAAGGGTAAAGTTTTTTGTGCGTATGTAAGTTTCATATTTCATTAATTAAAGTCATCACAACAAAATTATTCAGAGACTAAGCTGCTGCAAGACGCAATAAAAAATATTTATATATGAAAATGTTTTATTTATTTGTTTATTAAAGCCCATCGTCAATAAAATATCAGATAATAATAAAATTCGACGGCCTCGTATGCGATGCGACCTTGCCTTCTACTACTTGGTAAAGTAGGAACTGTTTTTATATGAAACAAATTTAACTTGATCGTTTAGCGAATGTAGAATGATGCTAAAAGTATTTAGAATACCGGACACGACACACCGCGACGTGTACGTGCATCGATGATGCGGACATCCAGTGATCAACAATTTCATTTGTTACAACTGTAATAATAGGGAAATAGCCTGAGGCGGTGTGAGTGGGGGGAGTGACGGTGACCGTCGACCACCATTGCACAACCACTCGAGCCTCACTCGATGCGCAGCTGCGCTCCTTTCCCGCTCCTATGTTTACATACAAGGTACCTCTTGCCTCCTTACTCGCTACAACAGTTATCGCTACGTGTATCACTCTAAAAGTAACATGCCTTAGCGACAGTGGAGTAGGCAGAGGCGACTGTGAAGTGTTTTCATAATGGACCGAGTTTGTTGCCCTGTGCCCGGAACCTGGTGCCTGTTGCCTGTTGCCTGGTGTACTGAGCTCGGTGCCCGATGTCCGGTGTCCGAGGCCAGAGAGGCAGTTTCTATACAGGTATAAGTTATGTCTTTACTGAAGACATGCCATTTTATATTTGCACGTGTAAATATAATTAATCCACCTTGGTAGTAAAGTGACGTATAAACATAACACTATCTCCATCGTAAACTTTATGATGTTTGATTGCATATAGTGATGTAGTTTCAATGAAATAACACATGTCATGTGAACAAAGTATTATACATAAATTAAACATTGTATTGTATAATACAAATTATGGTACAGCAAACTATCACAGGAGTGCCTATGTCGGAGCGGAGAGCTTCCATTGCCGGTGGAGCGTGAAATGAGCCCCCCCCCACACCCCGACACCCCGCACGCCTCGCCCCGCGCCCCGCACGCCGCGCATCATGCGGCCGCTCAGGCTCGCTTTTTATTGATGATCAGAATCAATGGCTGCGGTCTGGGAACTTATAACAATAACTTAAAATCACAACAATTTTCATTTTGGTTGCCAAGTGAAGTATGCTCATTACGAATTACGAACATCTCGATCTTGCTGTGAAATAAACTAATCGATTTAGACAGAGACAGAGACAGACAGACAGTATAACATATATAATTTTATAGTTTGAAAATTGTGTATCCAATTACATGTATGAAACTGTTTTATATGACAACGTGACAGATGGCTCTGTCGTATTAATCTGCTTGCTATATTATATGTATAGTGTATTCATTTTAGGGTAAATAAGTTTAGAAAAAAAACAATAAAAGTTGACAACACCTTTCACTGATCGAAGTTTTTTTTTTGAGGCACAAATAAATAATGTTTAATTGTTTA